CATCGCATTAATTATTTAACATAAAAATACTTACTTAAAGCAATAGAGATATGGGTTCACAGTTCACACCTTGAAATTAGGTTACTGCTTATTCGCTTGTGAAAACGGAAGCAACACCAAGCCAACATCCCAGCCACACTGAACCAGAAAGGCCGTGAAATCAAAACTTTTTGAGCAAAAGAAGGAATTGTGGAGAAGAGTGTACCAAGTCTCTAAACCAATAAACCAAGAAAAGAAAAAAGAACTAATCAGGAATTTAATAATAAACAACAAAAAATAAAATAAAGTTAAAGGGTGCAGTGGTTTAATCTGATTTGTGGTAGTTGAAGCAATTCAATATGTGCCAACATATTTGAAAAGGTTTTAGGATGTAATAGAACTTTATAGTCCATCTCGATTATATTAATAATAATAAAAAAAAAAAAAATTCATATACAAAGTGCATACAGTTACGTAGAGTTAAATTATCACTAATACTTACATTTTGATCACCACCTGTAACATTCTTTTGGTCAATTGGCTCTTCAAATACAAGATAAATAGTTGTCTTCTTCACAGTGAATCCATTCCCGAAAACAACAACAAAATTCACTTTGTTGCCGGGTTCTATATTTGATATTACTCTTTGCCACTCATCATCATCGTCTTCGAAAGTGGTTAATGCTTCTTTCTTGTAAAGTTGAATGGTAGTTTGTGAGTAATTTATCACCATCACACTTTTTAGGCCTTCTGATATTAAGTTGTCAGGAGCAGAATAATAAACAATGCACATAATTGTTTTCAAGGTACGTCCATTTACTTGAGGAACTTCAAAAAATACAAAAGAATCTTCACTGTTATAAGTTAACCACTCAGGATAATTGTCATTTGGGAGCAAACCAGGTCCAATGGGAGACATTTCCTGTATAATGAACATATGCACATTAAAAAAAGTATTTAACAGTATATTGATACTATTAACTTATTTAATGGTTAATTATACATTTTTGCTTACTAGATAATTACTTAAAAAATAATTGTCACTTGTGTTCCAATCAAGAGCAGAATCAAGATATTAGGTTGAGGGGGTCAAGATCAAATAGTCATTATCTAAAATTATTAACTATCGCATCACTAAAAAAATTAAGGATATTGGGTTGTTATTGTCAAGTTGACGGTAACAATTAATGAAGTTCAATTCAAATCCCCTAATCAATTAATCAAACAAAGTAAATTGGACAGTTATGAAAATGTTTTCAAATGTGAGATATTATAGACAAGTATGCTTTTAGGGATAATAATTAAAATCAATACAATTAATATAATAAGATCTTGTTGTCATGGTTTTGTCTATCAGTATTGGACAAAAATATCTTTTTTCTTGGTTATTAATAAACTCAATAATAAATAAACTCAATGTTCATTTCAGTCCAGCAATAAACTTAATAATACCAAGTTAACTTGCGATGAACTGCTTTAAGCCACCTTTATATTTTTTAATTTTAAAATTATTTTATTGTTATGCTTATTATTTGATGATTGGTTAATTTTTATTTTTATATATATTTTAAATAAATTTGAGAAAAATTAAAGATGACATAATATGATAGGTTTTCATATTTAAGTTTACAGAATGATAAAATAATTAACAAAGAACACAAGTTAAGTGGTTAAAATAAAAAAAAAAATACTTAGTTTTGTTTATGATCGCAAAATATATATCATATTTAAAAGAAAATTTTATCATATTACTACACAATCACTATCCTATACAGTAAATGTTAGACTTTAATGATAAAAAATTTATAAGAGTTTTAAAAATAAAAGTGCAAGAATAAATAAGTTGTCATACCAACGAAGACATAATAATAAATAATTGTATATGATAGAATATTATAAATTATAATGATAGCATCTATTAATAAAAATTCAATTAAAATCATTTGAACACGTGAAAAAAAGAAAAATAAATATATAGCATAACTTTTAGTGTAGTTATAAAAAGAAATAAAAAAAAAACTTATAAAAACTATAATGAAGAAAAGATTACACATTCACTAAATTATAGAAAGAATTCTACTACTTATACACTGTCAATACTCAATAAGCCACTGAGTTAAAGAAGAATCCCTCATAACTAAAGGTGTACGTGTAACACGTATATATTTATCCTACTTGACTCAAGTTTATATTTGTTGGATCTAATTAAAATATGACAATAAATGGGAAAACATCAGCTTAACTCAATTTATTGATAGAATATACTAATCTTAACCTTATGTACAGTTAAATAAAAATAATAATAAAATATAAAATTAAAATGATAGTAAATTTTATAATGCAATATATTTCAAAATAAATAATATAAATATAATATAATATAATGGTGTATAAAATAAATCTTAGAGTATTATTATTAATACATAATTATTAAAAAAAATTACAAAGAATAGATTATTTTAAGTCAAGTTAAAACAATTCAAAGTATAACTTGAACCTATCAAAATTAACTATAGGGATGAGACAGAAAGCAACAACTTAGGTTTTGTTTGAAATTTTGAAAGGAAGAGGAAGAAAAGAATTTGAAGGATAATGAGTTAAAAAAAGAGCAAAAATGAGAATTAATATAAAATTTTCTAAATTAAAAAAATTAAAAATATGAGCTTAAAAGAGTTTTGGAAGATTTATAAAATGTGTCCCTTTCATTTAAAAGCTTTCAAATAAAGATTATAATCAAATAATTATTTTCCTCTTCTCTCTTTCCTCTAAAATCAACGTTCAAACGAAATCTTAGAAGTTTTTGGAAAAGGAAGTTTTGAAGCGAAGAGAATGAGATAATTTTTTTAAATAAATATATTTAAAATTAATATTTTTAAAAAAAATATATAAATTAATATATTAATATAAATTTAATACATTAATCATATATTAATTATCATAAATGATATATAATTTTCTAAAAACTCTCCCTTTCCTAAAGTGATGTGATCCTACACCGGCTAAGTCTTTTTCTTTATCCTAAAAATCAACTTCCAAGTGAAGCCTTAAAAGTTCTTGAGAAGAGAGGTTTCTAAAGGGATGTGAGAAGAGGAGAGAATTTTTTTTTTTAAAAATAAATATATTTAAATTAATTTTTTTAAAATAAAATACATAAATTGATATATAAACTTAAACTTAATGTATTAATAATATATTTATTATTGTAAATAATGTATATATATTTTTAATTTAAATTTTTTTAAAAAAATCCTCCCTTCCCTGCAGTGACATGACCCTGACCCGTACACCCGGCTAAGTTTCTCATCTTGTCAATAATTGTTGTAGACTTATATTCTAAACTTCACTTTTAAATTATACTGTAAATAGTTAAAAAATAAAACAACAATTTATTTATGCATACATGTACGGGCAAGAATAAGAGAGAGTAAGAAAGTGAACCTGTAAAATGCTTCCCCTAAGCCTGCGGGTGACAGAGCAATTCGTTCCGACTTGAAATAAAAGAGATGTCATGGAACTTTTTGAGCTTGAACTCTGACCTTGACAATGTCCACCAAAAACTGTAGAAGTCTTAATATTCGGGTCACAAGATGTGCTTAGTGTTTCTGGGAATTCCTCACAATTTGTGATATTTAAGCTACCCAAAATTTTCTCAACATTTTGATTTAGTTGAACTTCTGAGTCGCACTTCACCCAAAGACGTTGAAGTTCCTTAAGGTCTTTAAGAACAGATGATTCCACAAACTTTTGAGCATAGGATAAGATACTATTTGTTGGAGACATCCAAGACAATATAACAGAAGGAAATATGTCACGCGAAAATCCTTCATAGCCACACAAAGATATATATCCGATGCTTTTTAATTTTATTATTGCAAATGGAACTCTTATTATGCCAGCGTTGTCTGCAATCAAGGTAGTTAAGGATTCCATTTGTTCTATATCCTCTTCCAACTTGTCAATTTTTGTACATCCAGATAAAATAAGTGTTTTCAATGACTTCAACTTATAAATGCTTCTTGGAAGTTTACGAAGGCCTGTACAATGTTTTAAATTTATCAGAGAAACCCTATGAAGATTTCCAATGGTATGAGAAACTAGGGATAAATTTGGACAATCCTTGAGTATTAACTTTTCAAGATTCGGTAAGTATGAAAAGTTTGGAGTTTGTCTCAAATAAGGAGAATGACTAAGATTGAGAATTTTCAGCTTCTCCAACAACTGTAAAGAAAAAATATCTATATTAGAAAAGAAGCCTAAAAAAATAGAAAATCATTAGGATATAATATATTAGAAATAATTATCAAAAGGCATCTATGGGCTTTCTTCCAACTACTTCAACCTTTGTAATATAAGCTTTTGTTTTTATTTTTTGCATCCAAAAGTATGATTAAAATTGGAACTAGTTCATGAAGAAACTGAACTGATGATACCTGGGACTTCTGCCACACTTGTTCCAAATTGGAATATTTTAAGTCAATAGCAACCAAACTTCTTTGATGAAAGTTTGGAGGTGTACATTCTAAAGGAAATCCATGCCAGCAAAGCCATCTCAGATCTTTAGAAAGATATTTATAATCTCCTCTAAGTTGTATGCCGGCAAGTTGAAGCAATTTAAGTCTATTCAATTTTTCAAATGCTTTTGTTTCCAAACTAGTTGTTGTATCCGCTGGCCACTTCAAAGTCAGTCCCTCAACAGTTATCATTTCCTGTGAAACAAAAGAGAAAAACAAAATGCACATCTTATGTAAATGTTAGGTAAAATTATAGTAGAGTAATTGAATACAATTATGAGGTTTGAAATCCATAATCTGTTACTATGAACCAAATATTGCAAAACTGTTAACAATCAAGCTCATTTTCACATTTATTAGAATAAATTAGACAACAAATTCGTTATTATTCATTTTTCATCCTTTGACATCAGATTAGATATTAAAATAAAAAAGAAATCATAGAAGAAGTTCTTACAGGTTTTTTTGATAATAATACTTGATGAATATCCTTGTAAAGCCATAACCTACTGCCTTGCTCCACTATCTTGGTTGATTTTTGGCGAACAATTTCCCTTCCCATGTCTCGTAACAAATCGTGCATTCTAATCTTGTTCTTATCATCAATAGTGATGAGGCTTTGTTGTACAAGAATATTTATTCCAATTTCTGCAAAATGTCCACAGTCATTTAATATTCCAATTGCATCATCCTTTTCCATCCCAATAAAGAAAAATGCTATATCAAGAAATATGTCTTTCACATCATCATCACATAAACCATCAAAACTGATTCTGAGCTTCGTCAATACTTCTTCATCTGGAATGATTTTGAGTTTCTCCAAAACACTCTCCCATTCTGTTGTCCTCCTACACTTGGTCAATAAAAAGGACCCAATGACTTGAAGAGCCAGTGGCAATCCTCCGCAATATTTAACTACATCTCTAGAAAGGATAGCAAAACCTTCTCTTGGATTTGGTTGCTTAAATGCATGCCAACTAAAGAGCTCAAAAGATTCATTTTCGTCCATTGCTTTCATACTATATACATGAATAAATCCAAACCCCCTAAGCAAACTTTCATCTCTTGTTGTGATGATTATTCTACTTCCCTTACCAAACCAATCATAACTTCCACACAAACCTCTCATTTGGTCCAATTTATTTACATCGTCAAGCAAAAGAAATATTCTTTTTTGGCTAAGTCTTTCTTTTAATATCATCTTTCCTGATTCAACAGTATCAATCTTTATCTTGGTCGTTTTGTAGATATCAGAAAGAAGTCGTTGTTGTAAAGAAACTTGGCCATTATTTTGTTCCCAAACTTCTCTAACATTTAGGAGGATACACTTAGCCTCAAAATGGCGACGAATTTTATTATAGGTGGCTTTAGCAATAGTTGTTTTACCAATCCCTCCCATCCCCCATATCCCTAGTAATAAAGGATGCTTTGGTTGATGGCTATACAATAGTTGAATCATATCTTGTACACGAGATTCCACCCCCACTGGATGATCAGCAACGAACAAATCTTTGTTATCCAGCAAATTACTAACATGTTCAACTACTTTTTGAATATCCTCACTTTCGTTCCTATAAAATATGAACTTGTGAGTGTATATATAAGCAATTACATAACAATTTTCCAATATTGGCTTGTATGAAAAGAAAAGGAAATTTTAATGAAAAGTAATATTTGTATATATATATATGAATTGCTAAATTATTTCATAACAAAATAAATTGTGTTTGGACAGAATATTTTAAAATTTCTACAATTCATGTATTTAAATAATAGAATAAATAATTTTAAAATGCTATAGAATTTTAACTAGATAATTTTTATGTTAAATAAAAAACAATTTCTAATGATTTGTTTTTAAAGATAATTTTAAATACAAATGAATTTTTAGAAATTATTTTGGATGATTCTAGGGCAGGATTATTATTAGAAATATCAAATGGATTTGAAACTATTGCCAAGGAAATTTCAAGAGATAAAAAGAACTACACATGAAGTAATTATTAAAAAGGATTAAGAAGACAAAAGACAGATAAATTTCAAAGCATCACAACCAACAAATAATACACTAAAAAAAACGGAAATTAATTTACCTGGAATTTACGACGACAATCCCTGCTCTGCCACCAACTTCAAGGAGTGCCAACTCCCATTTCTTCAACTTCTTTTGATCCACTAAGATTTTTCTCATAAGATCTTTAAATGCTTTTCCAAACTCGCCTGTCTGATTGCGTACATCTGAGGGATCTACTTCATAAAACACAGGCACTATGGCTTTGCAATGTTCTACTATGTTCTCCAACTCTGTCATGCACCATCTTGAACTAGCATAATTTCTTGACAAAACAATCACACAAATTTTTGAGCTTCCGATTGATTGTAGCAGTGATAATGAGATTTGATCCCCCCTTTGAATCTCATCATCGTCTCTAAAAACATAAATCCCAGCATTTTCAAGAGAGGTATAGAGATGTGAAACGAATGATGCACGAGTGTCTCGCCCTCTAAAACTTAAGAACACATCATAGATATGTGGCTGAAATAGAAAAGTAAAATTTTAAAGCTTAGATGCAAGCCACAATTTGTTACATATTTCAATTCACAACCAAACTATCTTTCAAAGTTCTAATGATTATTATGAAATAAGAACCAATGCATTATTAATGTTTACCACATATTAATGACATATTCAAGAAACCACGTCCTGTTACGCACCTCACGTTTCTTCTGTGATTCTTCCCTAATGATTTCTCTTCCCATGTCTTGCAGCAGAGGATGCATTCCAAGCTTGTCATTCTCATCAATGGTTAAAAGGGCTTTGTCTTGAAGGGCATCTATTACATGCTCTGTGACTTGTGTTGAAGTGTTGAATCTATGTATTACATCATTTCGGTCCATCCCAACAAAAAAGCATGTTATATCAAGGAATATTATTTTCTCTTCATAATTCAATTTATCAAAACTTTGTTTTAGAACATCATTTACTATCTTATTGGGCCTTCTTTTGAGTTCTATCAATTGTGACTCCCATGTTGTTCTGCTTTCACAATGCAACAAAGATCCAATGACTTTAAGAGCAAGCGGCAATCCTTTACAATAAGCTACTATCTCTTGTGAAAGTTGTACAAAGGCTTCTTTGGGACTTGGTTGCATAAATGCTATTTGACTAAAAAGCTCAATAGAATCATTTTCATCCAATTCATTTACTCTATATACATGGTCAACTCCAATCACATTAAGTAGATGCCTATTTCTTGTTGTGATGATTATTCTACTTCCAGCACCAAACCATTCACGACGTCCACACAAAGTTCTCATTTGGTCCAATTCATCCACATCATCAAGCACAAGAAATATCTTTTTTTGGCTAAGCCTTTTCTTCAATATCATTTTTCCAGACTCACCTTTTCCTAGCTCTATCTTTGTTGGTCCATAGATATCAGAAAGAAGTTGTTGCTGTAAAGATATTTCACCATCTTGGTTCCATGTTTCCCCAACATTTCTAAGGAAGCTCTTACCCTCAAAAAAATGACCAATTTGATTGTAAAGGGCTACAGCAAGGATTGTTTTTCCAATGCCTCCCATCCCCCATATCCCTAGTAGTAGAGGATATTTTGATTGTTGGTTGTTCAATAATTGAATCACTTCTTGCACACGAGATTGTACTCCAACTACATGGCGAGCTGGGAAGGAATATGTGTTACATACATTTAGTAAACGAGTAACACGTTGAACTACATTCTTAATGTCTTTACTTTCATTCCTATAAATATAAAGATAAAATGCATAAGTGATTATATAACTATTCTTCAACTTGTGCATGTTTCAAAAGAGAAGAAGGAATTTAGTGGGAGGGAAAAATGATAATTGCACAAATATGTGAGTACATGTGAAAATCTCAACAATTTTAATGAAAGATTGCATGGAAATAGGACAAGGAAGTACTTCCCAATAGTTTTTTGCATATAAGATCATGTGAAGAACGTACATATGCAACAATCCTTACTTTTCTTAGTTAGTACTTGATTAGTTTATTTTGAACTCTTTCTTGAAATGAGAAGTAAGTACAAATAGAATTTACAAAAGAAACTTATAAAAATAGTTTTTCTTTGATTAAGAAAATAGTTTTAAAACTTTTAACTTTAAAGCAATTTTAAACTCTAAAATGTTAAATCAAACACAATCTTCATGAACGAATTAACACTGCAAGAAATTTATATAACTTTTACACATCATATATTCAAGGTTAATTGTACTTTTATTATATTTTTTAATTTATGTGTGATTTTAGTCTTCTTAATTTTAACTGTTCACAATAAGTTTAACTAGTTTTCAAATTATTTATGTACTGGGAAAAGAATCAACTCGGTCCCACCATTAGCAAAAAGAAACCGAATACCTACTCGGCATACTAGGCCGGTACCCCTAGTCAGGATTAAAAGGTAAATAATCCAAATTAAAGATAATCAAAAATACTATGGGCCTCAAATGTAAAAATTGACTCAGGCCCATTAGCCCAAAGAATGTCTATAAAAAGAAGATAAGAAATACAGGTTAGTGGTTGACTTCAGATCATTAAATAACATTTATTGTTCAGAACCGAATCCTGACTTTATCATCGGAGTACCTTTTGCAGGTATTCTCCCTATCATCAAATCAGCAGCAGGACGCCTGATCGGAGATTAGAAGACAGCTAACGAAGGAACATTTTGGCGTCCACCGTGGGGCGCGATTAACTTCGTCACTCAGGATTAAGCATGGTAATGACGAGAAGCCAGCAGGAAGGGACCTCTAGGCAACAAATGGAGGGCGTCACATCAGAGGAACTAGTACCGGAAGTAGTGATACAAGGAGGAACGGAAGAAAGCATCCTAGCTGTACTGAGGCAACTAAGGGCAGAAATGGAGGAGATGAAGAAGGATCGCGAAAGGGACGCACTGGAACTCTCAGCCCTACGAAGGGAAAATACCGGCCTAAGGGAGGAAATAAGGACACACGTCCCCTCCCTTACTACCCCCGTCGTCCAAGATCAAGGAGAATCATCAGCGCTGCAAGAAAAATCAAGACAGGCATATCAATCGGTAACCGAAAACGACCGAGATGAACTTATGAACCGGAGCCCATTCGTTCACCGCATTCTAGAAGCCAAGCTGCCCGACAATTGGAGAGGGTTGGTAATAGACAAATACGATGGCACATCCGACCCCGGAGAACAAGTGGACATATTTACAACGCAGGTCGGTCTGTACACAGAAAGCGACGCCTTATGGTGCAGAATCTTTCCTACTTCGCTCCGAGGACCTGCACTTAGTTGGTTCACTCGACTCCCCCCCTCTCCGTCGACTCGTTCGCAACTCTCACAAGACGTTTCAACCTGCAGTTCGCCACAAGCCGGCCCCATCCACTAACATCCTTGGCCCTAGTCAATATTCGCCAAGAGAAAGGTGAATCACTTAGAGCGTTCATGGAACGCTTCGGCAAAGTGACCCTTTCAATCCATAATTTAGAACCAGCAGTGGCTATGCACCATCTAACAACAGCGCTGAAACCGGGACCCTTCGTTAATAGCCTCTGCAAAAAACCCCCAGTCGACCTAGACGAGTTAAGGAGCCGGGCTGCGAAATATATGCAAATGGAAGAACTATCCGAATACCGGAGCCAGGTACGGATGGAACAAGGACCTAACTCAAAAAATGAAGAAAGAAGGGAGATCTTTAAAACAAGGCGGGGGAACGACAGAGGAAAGGAACTCGAACGACCACCACGAGGACCGAAGTATCCCTCCTACACGACTCTCAACTCTAATCAGTCCAGAATACTTGACCAAGCGTTGGCCACAGAAATATTGAGAATGCCTAGGCGTGCTAACACCCCTCCTCGGGCTGATAAAAGCAAGTCTTGCCGGTATCATCAGAACAGGGGTCACACTACCGAGGAGTGTGCGGCACTAAGAGACAAAATTGAAGAATTGATCAAAGATGGACACCTGAAAAATTTTGTACAGACAGATCCCGCAAGGCAATACAACAAAGGAAGAAACAGCCACCCCGATTCACCAAAGAGATCCGACGCCAAAAAATTTGAACGGCCCAGGAGCAGGTCCAGGGAGCCCCCACCAAGAAGATATGAACAAGATAAATATCCGAAGAGGGTCATTAACACCATAGCCGGAGGGTTCGCTGGTGGAGGATCTACCCATTCGGCTAGGAAGAGGCATCTTCGGAATGTCCGTTCTGTGAATAATGTTTCATTGGGCAGCAAGATCCGAATCCCGCCTATTACGTTCACTGACGACGACTTTCAAGGAGTCGACCCGGTACAGGATGATCCCATGGTAATTAGCGTAGACATTCTTAACTGCACTGTCCGAAAAACGCTAATAGACCAAGGGAGCTCGGCTGATATCCTATACTGGAATACATTCAAGCAATTAGGCATCTCAGAACAAGAACTCAAGGAATATCATGAGCCGTTGGTGGGTTTTTCCGGGGAACGAGTAGAGACCAAGGGGTGTATCGACTTGTATACGACCTTTGGATCAGAGCACGAGGACAAACGCATAAGAGTCACTTATCTTGTAGTACATGCGAACACATCTTATAATATACTACTCGGTAGACCGTCCCTGAACAAATTGAAGGCCATAGTTTCCACTCCGCACTTGGCCATGAAATTTCCGTCTGAAAGAGGCCGAATCGTTATCGTCCATGCCGATCAAAAAACAGCCAGGGAATGTTACTTCGCAAGTTTACGCCTTAAACCCTTTCAGGGGAATACCCGGGATGTCAATATTGTATCCCCTCGGTTGGAAGAAGAGTTGGATGTTGAACTCGATCCTAGAGTGGATGAGGAGTACCGAGTCGAGCCCAATGAAAACAAACAATCTTTCCAACTAGGAACAAGGCCAGAACAAATTGCGTATTTGGGGATCGGTTTGAACGAGCAAGAGAAAGCCGTTCTCCAAAAGATGCTGGTAGATAATGCCGACTTGTTTGCCTGGAGAGCCTCGGATATGCCTGGCATTGATCCAGCATTCCTATGCCACCACTTATCGGTCTATAAAGGGGCCAAACCGGTAGCTCAAAAAAGGAGAAAAATTGGTGGTGATAGAGCAAAGGCGGTAAGAGAAGAAACCAGCAAACTAATACAGGCCGGTTTTATCCGAGAGGTCAGGTATTCAACATGGTTAGCCAACATTGTCATGGTCAAAAAAGCCAATGGCAAGTGGCGAATGTGCACGGACTTCACGGACCTCAATAAAGCATGCCCAAAAGATGCATACCCCCTACCAAACATTGACACCTTGGTTGATGGTGCTGCCGGTCACAAAATACTGAGCTTTTTAGATGCTTATTCTGGGTACAATCAAATACGAATGTACCCCCCCGATGAGGAAAAAACAGCATTCATCACAAATTCTGCAAATTATTGTTATCGGGTGATGCCGTTCGGGTTGAAGAATGCCGGAGCAACCTACCAGCGACTTATGAACAAAATTTTTGAAAAACAAGTGGGTAAATGCATGGAAGTGTATGTAGACGACATGGTAATTAAATCCCTTGCATTAAAGCAACATCTTGACCACTTAAAGGAGGTATTCGGAGAAGCCAGAAAACATGGTATGAGGTTCAATCCTGAAAAATGTACATTTGGTGTAGCTGGCGGTAAATTCCTGGGCTTCATGTTGTCCGAAAGGGGAATTGAGGCAAATCCCGACAAATGTAAAGCCATCATCGACATGGCCAGCCCTCGCAATATCAAGGACGTGCAACGACTGACCGGGCGGATTGCAGCCTTGGCTAGATTCTTGCCAATAATGGCAGAAAGGTCTCGGCCTTTCATTGAATTGTTGAAGAAATCGCAAAAATTTGCATGGACCAATGAATGTGAGGACGCCTTTGTACAGTACAAGCATATGTTGGCCGCTCCACCTACGTTGATTAAACCAATTTCGAAACTGGAAATGATTGTTTATTTGTCCGTGTCCGATCACGCCGTCAGTTCGGTCTTACTTCAAGAAACACCCGAACCAAACCCCGTATATTTCGTTAGCAGGACACTTCAGGGTCCTGAATCTCGGTACCAGTTAGTGGAGAAAGTGGTACTTGCCTTAGTCCACACAACTCGTAGGTTAAGGCACTACTTCCAGAGCCATCGAATGATAGTCCGTACAGATTGTCCGATGGCCAAAATTTTGAGAAAACCAGAATTGGCTGGTCGGTTGGTGACATGGACAATTGAATTATCCCAATATGACATCCATTTCGAGAACCGACGCCCCCTTAAAGCCCAGCTATTAGCCGACTTCATCAACGAGTTTACGACACCACATAATACCATTTCAGACATGTGGAACCTACATGTTGATGGATCATCAAATCAATCAGGCAGTGGAGCGGGGGTCATTCTTGAAGGACCAAATGCGTTCGCCATTGAACAGTCTATCCGGTTCGGATTTAAGGCATCCAACAATCAAGCCGAATATGAAGCTTTACTCGCCGGTCTCAGACTTGCAAGGGAAATGGGGGTTAAACGCATTACTGCTTGGAGTGATTCAAAAGTTGTAACCGAACAAGTAAATGATACCTATCAAACCAGGGACTCGGTCATGCTTAAATATTACCAGGAGGTTAAGAAAATAAAAACCAAGTTTGAGGAGGTATACATTCGGTACACACCTCGAAACATGAACGCACGAGCCGACAGGCTAGCTAGGCTGGCTAGCCAACGGAAACCAGGGCAGCTGCAGAGCATGGTTCACCA